GGTGGGAGGAGGCACCAGAATCCACTGGGGGGAGATTAAAGGTTGCATGAAAAGAGCCAATGACTGGGAGGTGGGAGACCTAGGTTGGGCCTGGCTATGGTCCACAGGCTGGTGTCTTCTCATCGGTCACAGTGTTCTTCTCTATAAAATGACATGGTTGAAGCCAGTGGTCTCTCAGCAGTTGTCCTGTGATGCTGACTGACAGTTGGGCTGTTTCCATCCTAGAGAGGATTTTCCAACCTTATGACCCCTTTGTTCTCTCCTTTTTTCTGAGGAGCACGGCAACTGACTCTGAGGGTCCCCCTAGACCCCCACTGACTGTTTTAGACATGGGATCCTTCTTGAGTGCCTCCCTCCTCAGCCCTGCTTCTGGCCCCTTCCAGCTGGACTTCTCTGCTCCTTTTCCTTGCCTGGGCAAGGCCCTCTTAGCTGACTATTCTCCCTTCTCCGTGTAATGACTGGGAACCAGAACACCTGGGCTTGGGTCTTGGCTCTGTCATGTGCTGTGTGCCCTTGAACTAGGAATCAACCCTCTCTGAGCCTCAGGATCTCCCAGGACCCACCAGCATTCAGACTTGATCATACCCAGGTCCGCAGTTTCTGGGAATTCACCGGGACCTGGGCATTGTGCCCCTGGCTTCAGCCTCTTGAAAGGTCTGCCTTGTTGTGACATCAGAGTAGGAAGCCCCTGGGCCTCTGGTCCCAAGTGTCAGTCCTTCCCATATTTCATCTAATTCCTAGGGCGAGTGGGGGGGGGCATTTTGAAATAGTCAGAAATCTAACAGAACTATCAATTTTTTGAAAGAAAATAGAAGACTGTTCTATTCTGTACACAGGGTAAACACACACACACACTGATATTTCATCCAGATACAAGGAAAAAACAAAGGAAAATGAACACATTTCAAAATAAAAGCCTCCCCTCCTCCAAAATTTTTGGAGACTGTCTCCTGCCTGCATCTCTCTTTCTTTCTGTCTCTGTTTCTGTTCTGCTTCCCATCATCCCATCTTCGGGGGTGGTTCAGGATTCCTGGAGAGACAGAGGAGAATCATGGGCACCCTCGAGTGAGGAGAAATAACCACGCCCACGTGGGCAATTATGATTCAGCACCTTGGCCAGCACCCACCACTCCCCCAAACCCACTCCTCTTCAAGCCCCTACATTTAAGCCTGTGACATGACCTTTGCAACTGATCTCCTGGTGGGGTGTTCGGGGATGGTGAACAGACTCAAGACCCAGGCAGAATGAGAGGAAGCCACGAATACTGCCCAGATGTGAGCAGTCAGTCTCCGGGGATGACCTCTCCAGCTGAGCTCTGTGCTGCCAGGAGACCTTATCTCTGTTGTTTTCTATTCCTGCTGCCACCCAAGAGAGAAATATCCAGAGCTAATGGCCTTGTTATGTTCTGAGCAGGACAAACTCCACATTAGACTTAGAGAATCCTGGATAATCAGAGCCAGAACCTGGGCAATCAATTAACTGGATCTCTAGCTCCTCCCCCAAAAGAGATGGGGAGGGACACTGAGGCCCAGGGAGAGACAGGTACCTACTTAGGGTCACATAGTACCTTCTTGAGTCTACCCTGACTCTGAGAGACACATGAACTTGGATCGAAGCTGAGATTTGACCCACAATTGCACAAATGCACAATGGTGTGGAGCAAGGGTTAAAGTCCCATTCTGAATCCCAGGGGGATCCAGTTCAAGTGTCTGCTGCCTGTCACTGAAGGGGTCCTCAAAGTTGAGAAACATTCCGAGGGAGGTCCAGTGACGAGTTTGACTTTAGCTTTGGATGGGCCTGGGTCTGATTTCCTGCCCTGTTGAGTACTGGCTGTGGGTTCCCTGGGAGGTGATGTTTCTCCACTCAAACACTGAGAAAATGATACCAACCTCAAGGGCTTGTCTTGATGTTAGATAAGTATCAGCCCTTTGTCTGCTCTGACCACAAACTGGGATCCAAATAGGGATACGTTTCTCTTGTGCTCTTGGTAAGATCTTCACTGATCCCTCCTTCTTCCCCAAGACTGGGATGCCTTTGCCTCCCCTCTCTGCTTGTCTGTGTTAAGTGGGGGATTCCTGGGATCAGCCTGACAACCCCAGATTCTTCCATTCAGGAATTCTGAAGGGAAGACTGGGATGTGGCCAGCACTCCTTGGACCTTGTGCCGAGGCTGAGTGGGAGAGGGGTAGGAAGGACTGTGGAGGGGGTGTTTCTTCCCCCAGAAGACAGATACACTGAGCAAAGATGGAGGGGCATGGCTTTGGGGGAGCCACAGAGATTTAAGGGATCGGTTGGGGATACTCTAGTCTCAAAATCACCTCTCCCCAAAACTGGGTGCTCTCCATCAACCCATCAGAGACCTTTCCCTCTGCTAATTTCTCCAATCTTTGTTCATGCCCCTCTATCTAGAACCCCCCAAAATTCAATGACTATTGTGACTCCTTCTCTGCTCTCCCTAGATCCAGGTATAAGTGAAGATCCCTGAGGCCTCAGGGGGCATCCAGTGTGACCTCTCTCATTTGCAGATAAGGAGACTGAGGAGAGGGGCTTCAGGGTACAGAAAGGGTCAGCACAGAACTAAGATGAGGCTCAGGACTCCTGTTTCCCAGGTCGCTGCACTGTGCAGCTGTGGGGCCCCAGGGCCTTGCCACCTACAGTGTCCACAGCTCATCTGTCCATATTCAGGCCCCTGCCTGACTCCTGGCCAGTCAGAGGTAGGATAGACCTCCTTCTCTACAGCAGATCTGCAGACATCAACGACCGAGATGCTCCCATACCCCACAGGAGACCTAAGGAGGAAGATAGACTCCTGAGGGTCAGATTCCTTAGGGCGCTGACTCTGGGAGGCAGCTGGAGTGAGAGGCAGAACTTCCCTAAGTGCACTGCACTTTGCAGCTTACCAATAAATCACGAGATGGTGTTATTATCTCCATTTTCCATACAGACAAGCCAAGGCCCAGAGAGGTCAAGTCATTTCTCTAAAGTCATACAGTAATGGAGCTCGGGTTCAAGCCCAGGTTTGTGGAATTCAGGAGACCTGACACTGTCTCATGAGCTCCCCTTTGCTCCCAAGACTATCACTAACCCCTCCTCCAGGCAGACTGCCTGTCTTCCCTGACTAGTTAGTTGTGATGTAAGTGCTGGCTTTAGAACTTAGTTCTAATCCGAGCTTTGCCCCTTATCGGCGTGGGACAGGGGGCTGTGGGCATGTCACATCTTCTCTCTGAACCTCATTTTCTACTTCTGTAAAATGGGCATAATATTACATACCCAGTAGGGTTGCTTTGTGGATTAGCCATGTTAATTAATGTATGTACACTGCCTGGGCCTTTTTCAAAGTGAATGGAACTGACCACTGACATTCTGTAACTTTAATTTAATACAAATTCATCATAACTCACAAAATGGGCAACATTCAAAATAAAAATACTGCTGGGGGTGACCCAGATTCTGGTAGATGTAGGGGTGGGGGGAGGTTGAGGATTCCTCCTGCCTGAGAGGGACACCAATGGGCAACAGTTGCGAGGGGAGCCCCCCCAAGTTCAGCCAGTCTGGCTCCTTTGGGATGAGTGGGGTCAGGGACCCCACAAGCTCCAAATCTAGGCTCAGGATGAGAAAGCAAAGCTGAGGCTTGAGATATTCTGGCCACCCCTGGGCAGGGCCAGAGCCAAGGAGCAGGACAGCTGGAGGCTCTGCTGCTTTAAAGCCAAGACCCGGAGGTGAACCCCTCTCTGTTTCTTTTGTGTCCTTTTAATGTGGTTGGGCCAGGAAAGAAGAATCTATTTCCCAAACACCCGTGCAGCCTGGCTTTGCTTTGTGTTTCCCCAGCCGTGCCTCTTATCCAGATTGGGATTTGGGAATTAAATTGAGTGGGAGAGAGGCGGGCCCCAGGACGTCCATGTGCTGGCATGGTCAGCAGCGGAGGGAGCACTGCTCTGCGGTCTGCATCCTCCTGATTTGGTGGCTTACTACAGACGGGAGCAGCGTTTTTGATCAGGACAGGCATGATGAATTTGGCGGCTGGGAATTACTCCTGGAAAACCAGCAGAGTCTGCTCCTCCAGTCTTTCCAATGATTCTGGAAAGCCATCAGGGATGTGATCATAAATCCTGTCTCATTAAACTAGCCAAAGCAGCTCTTGTTATCCGCACAGGATCTGAATGGAGAGAGATGCCAAGCCTGATGGGAGGTCCCAGCCAACAGCTTGTCCCAGTGCTTAGGTCCTGACGGAGACACGGCTCCCTGCACCCTAGCCTGGTCCCAGAGGCCCGCTTGGACCTTTAGCCAAGCTTCTGGGGACCTCCGTCACCCAGTGATGCTTGTCCTGCAGCTGCCTTTAGGCTACTGGTCTCCGCCTTGACCCCTGGCCGTGCCGTCATCCTGCTTTTCTACCCGTGGGCAGGAAGGTGGTGGCACATGTAACACGTGGTCCCAATGACAGGTACCTCGCAAAGGCCACAGCATCATCTCTACCTGCAGGGCAGTGGGAAAAACAGGAACCACAAAGCTCTTGGTCTGGAGGTAGAAGAGGTGGTTCTCGGACACCTTAGGACCAGCTACTGCCTGTGTCCACTGTGGGCTGGAGTCAAGGGTAACATGGCCCATGGCTCAGTGAGGGGCAAGTCTCTGACGTGGGGACCATAAGAGGGTTCCTGTGTATCTTTCCAGCTGCCAACCGCTGGCAACCCTGACACATCCTGAGATCAGGGCGTGTGGGCAGGAGGGAGACAGAGGGAGGTGGGCCCCTGCCCTCAGAGGATGGGGATGAGGACTGGGCAGGGGCTGCCCTGAGGAGAAGCCACGTCACATCCTTGGACCAAAGCTGCCTCTCCATCAAGGTCAGAACTATAGGACATCAATGCCGACAGAGTTTAGGAATCATGGAGCACGGAGGCTGGAGGGTAAACAAGCAGCCTGAGACCTCACCGTGGCCACGCGGGACCGGAATCCAGGCCTCTCCCGACCCCTGGGCGGTGCTCTTGCGGGTGGCCGCAGCGCGGGTAGCGTCTGGGCGCTCCCTCCGTGGCCCTAGATGCGCACTGTATTGATCCTCAAGGGCTGCACGTTCTTGCCATTGGCGTGGCTCTGCCCGGGGCTGAAGTAGGAGCAGAGCTTGCCCGGGAACTTCTCCCGGAAGGTGTAGAGCCAGGACATGTCGTCGGCGTTGTAGAAGATGAGCAGGCCTTGATCGTAGTCCAGGAACACGCCCACCTTGTCCAGCTTGTCGCGGACGTTGAGCCGGGTCCAGGGCTCGGTGCAGGCGCTGTACTGGTTGCCGTCGTGCATGACGATGCAGTAGAAGCCGCGGCTGGGCTGGATCTGGATGCTGCCCTTGCGGCTGGCCGCCTCGTGGGCCAGCCCAATCACCCACTGGGTCTTCTCCGCCACCACCACCTCCCAGTAGTGCACGCCGCTGCTGAAGGCCTCGGAGCCCAGCACCGACACCTCCACATCGAAGCGCTTCGGCGAGTCCTGCAGCGGCTGCGGGTGCAGGTTGCCATAGGCCACGATGGTGCAGTCGTCGGACAGGATCAGGCGCTGGTGGGCAGTGCCTGGGTCCAGGGTCAGGGCGGCGGGCACTGCAGGGGGCGGAGGAGGGGAGAGGAGGTGAATGGAGAGAAGGCTGTGGACCCCCTCTACTTCCCTACTTGGGGGCTGGCTTCTGGTTGGTCGCCAGGAAGCTGTGTGTTGCTGAAGGCTAGCCTGCCCTCTCTGGTCCTCAGCTCCCTCCTCTGTAAAATGGAAGGGTGATGGCCAAGGTCCTTCCAGATTTAACCCTGGCTGCAGAGGATCAGGAGCTGTGACTGCCTGGGGCAAGGAACACAGGGGGCACCCTGCAAAAGTCTGTTGGGTAAACTATAATGAAATCCAGAATTACAGAACTTCAGAGCTGAGAGAGCGTCAGGATTATCCAGGCGTTGGCAATCACCCTGGTGGGGACAAGGACATGCGTGGGAGTGTGTGGGTTTCTTAGTAGGTGCGATCCATGCGTCCAAACGCCCTGAATGAAAGGCACAGGGCATTCCCACAGCCCTCTTGCCACCCATATGTTTTCAAATGCCCAACCAGACATTCATGTGGATGAAAAACTTTTTTTACAAAGACCTAAAATTACAACTTAACTCCATTTTATGTATGAACAGGATGTAATTTTTGTACAGTTTTAATATACTGAGTATTTTAGAACACTACTACCATGGAAACTGAGGGGAGACTGCATTTATGTTGTTTAGAACTTCATTGAGAATTGTTCACTTTTTGGGACAATACATCTCTAAGAAAAATGCCACTGACTCATAGAATCTACCTGTTTCAGACCACATTTGAGATAAAATGGTGTTGGAGCACCTGACTACTTCATTATGTTTTCCAGTATGGCCATAGTGAGCCCCTAGAGAGGACACGAGCAGTATTTTCTTACAAGAAATTTCCTTGTATTTTTTCTTTATATCATCATCAGATTATGGATATACAATTTCAAGTATAGATACATTTAATATATATTTATATATTATATATTAAAATTTATATATATTATAATTTATATATTATACATATATATAAATTGTGAAAAGGTTATATTATCTTTGAGACATTACAAATTATTTGTTAGGAAATGTAGGTGACAGGTCTGAAAAAGCTGTAAACCATTAATTCTGAGCCAAATGTTCCATTTGACAGATGGGGAAAATGAGACCCAGAGAGGAGAGGGGACTAATCTCAGGTCACCCAGCACCTAGTGGCAGAATAAAGACTAATCAAAGCCATGTGCAACCCAGCACCAACGCCACCCCACCCCGCTCAGCCCCAAAGCCTCCACTCAGACTGTCCTCCACTGACTCCTCCCTGCTTGTTGTCATCACCCCTGCGTGTGGCTCCACTCCAGGGCCCATCCTCTGGGAAGCCGTCTTAGTGGCCCAGCAGGTGGGCACACTCTTTCTTCGGAGATTCCTTAACTTCATGTCCTCTCCTGATTCTATAAGGGGTATAGTCTTCTGTGCCCACATCTTACACCCCCTTTGCATCAAGAGGGCAAGGGCTGTGTACCACCCAACTAGGTTCTCCTTAGTGTGCCTGGTGCCCAGCACAGAGCCAGGCATAGTGAAGGTTTCCAGAAAGGCTCACCCAATTAAAGTGACTCTGTTTGTATTGCTTTCAGGCAGGCAGCACAGGCTGGGTCACCCTGCTCTGGGCTGGTCACACTGGCTTAGCAGGTCTGGTGCTCAGAGTCTCTGTTTACTCTCTCCTTCAGAAGGGAGCGGATGCTCAGCCAGAAGATGCGAGAACCTGGAAGTGGCCTGCCTGAGCTTGGATGACCATTTCTAGGGCAGAGCAAGACAGAGGCCAAGAAGAGTGAAGAGAAGGAATCCTGCCCCAGGTCCTGGGAGCAAAGGATTTCTTCACGCTGCTCTCTGGGGCTTCCCTTATCTGGGGGGAGGGTGGTAGGGGTGGGGGTCCGGACCAGAATTCCACTTGGCTGCAGCATTACCCCCTACTTCTGTCACCTCTGTTGGCTTCATGCGTGCACAGAAATGAAGCACTTCAGTGGTGGCAACTGTCCCCAACAGGGACCAAAAGCCCATTTCTGAACTGTGCTCCCGGGCACACTGCCACCAGCAAAGCTCACCCTTGACTTCTATCAGGCTCCCTCCACGGGCTCTGGTAGGAGTCAATTTCGTTTCGCATGTTATATTCTCCTTTCCTGTTCTTAGATCTCTGAGGGCTGAACGGAAACCATCAGCCCTGGGAACAGGGGGGTCAATGGAAACAGAACTCTCCATCCAGGGACTCTGAAGAGGGGGAGGTCCAAGAAGGAAGACACTGAATCAGTGGCTGAATGTTCTACCCTGTCTTCCGAGGGGTCACAGTGCAGCCTGTGGGGAGCCGAAGCTCTTGCCCACGTGGAATGTGGGAATCCCCACAGTGGCGTCAGGAGGTGAGAGCAGGAGGGAGGTGTAGGAAGTGTGTGTGAGCGGGAGGCTAAGGAAGCAAGAAGGATCTAATTAGACACAGATGGGCCACTCCTACAGGCTGTGGAATGTGGGTCACACTCAGGCGTCTGTAGCAGAGGGGCAGAGCAGGCACAAAGCCAAGGTGTGGGCAGCCGCCATCCTGAGTGCCATGCGGGGACTTGTGGAGCTCAGGATGACTGAGGAGGTCTGCAACAGGCAGAAAGTACCGCGCGGGGCCGAGGAACCAGGGCTGGAGCAGGCGGACGGGGGTTTGAGCCCCATACCAGCACAGGGGCTGGAGGGCTCAGCCCCAGATCCTTAAGCCTCATGGAGGGCCACATGGCCCCTTCCAGGGCCACCGATGAGTGTGGAGGGCGCTGGAAGAGGCAGCCAAGTGGGCTCTCAAGGGCTCTGAGATTGGGCCATAGAGATGAGGCAGGAATCCAGAGGATATCCTGACTGCATGGAGCGCCAGCTCCTGGGTGTGGACCCTCACTGCTTTGAAGCCCTAGGGCACAGGGTAAGAGGCGGGCCCGCCACTCATTGGGTGGGCTTGGGGGCAGGGTCTGCTGTTCATTGGGCAGTGCTGGCAGCAGAGGTGGAACTGGGGGAGGGGCCCGGTAACTGGGTGCTGGGCCCAACCTCCCAGGGGCAGGGCTGGGGTTGAGCCCAGAATTCTTATTAGGCACAGGGCGTGGCCTGCTTCTTAATAGGCTTTGACACCCGCAAAGGGTAGGCTGGGGCTCACCTCCAGGGTCTCCCATTTCATCATAAACAGAGGTTCTGTCTCCCCAGGACTCCATCCCATCTTCTGTGAGGCTAGGTCTGGCAGGAGTAACAGCCTTCAGACCAGAGAGAGACCCAGAAGGGGCCATGGCAACACCTTTTCCGTCTGAGATGTCAGTCCCTGGGTGGGGAATGGCAATCCCTCCACCCATCCTTTATCCTTGGGAGAGCTGCCAGACCACAGTCCCCTGGGGCTCACTATGTTACAGGTCAGAGATCTTTTCTACGTCCGGAGACACTGTTTTAGAAAAACAGAAAGCAGGTGTTGAAGCAGCCCGTTGTCTCCAGGTGTTTTTTCTGTCCGTTTAAGACTGAGACCTCAACATCAAAGGCATTGAGGGAGGGACATGGACTGTGGAGGCCCCAGGAAATGTCTGCTGGCCATCGTTAACCACTCCCGACATGGCCCAGGTAGCAAAGAAACCTCCTAGTCCAGCACCATGGCTTGGCAGTGGGTGGCTGGTGCCCCTCTGTTCCCAAGAACAGTGGCTCGACCCTTCAGAAGCCTGACAGGATGGCTCTTTCCTCAGGCCTTTACAAAATCTGCTGCCTCGGGCTTCCCACCTACTTAGACCCTCCAGGGCATCGTGCCAGCATTCGAGAAACACACTCATACCCACTAGCTTGCTGGAATGCTGCGGCAGCCCCAGAAGAGCAAATCATGGTACCATTTGTCAGAAGAGGAAACTGAGGCTCCAAGGACACTTCTCAGAGTTAACTGGCCTGCATGAGCTATCCCTCAGGGTGGAAGTACAGTTGGAACTTGAGCTAAGGTCTTTTCACACCATGTTCTTTCCTTTATGTGGCCCCAGAAAGCCTGCTCAGCAAGACTGAGGAACCATCCGATGAGTCCCGATCACCATCGTAATAAACAGGTATCACATACTTACTGAGTTCCAGGATTATTATCACAACTAGATAATTTTATTTCATTCTTATACCTACCCTGGGAGATCAATCACATCTGCCCCATCCCTGTTTTACAGAGGAGAAAACTGGCTCAGAGAGGGCAGTGATCTGCCCTGGGGCACACAGCTAGGTGGTGACGAAATGACTGGATTGAGGTGAGCAGGGGGAAGGAGCAAGCAGCCCAGGGCAGGGAGGTGGCAGAAGCACAGGAGGCAATGTCTGGTGTCCTCTGGTCTGGCCGGGGGAGGAAGTTTGTGTTGGGGAGCTGGAACAATCAGGCCTGGCGGTTGGGGGAGGGTTTTTAATGTCAGCTGAAGGGTGGGACAGGAGGTGGGTGGTGGTAGAGACTGGAGGTTCCAAAGCAAGGGGAGTGACCAGTGCTAAATGGAGTTCTCAGGTGACCCAGTAGGAAGCCTGAGCTGGAAGCAGGACAGGCAGGAAGCTGCTAGAATCCAGGGGCTAGGTCCCTGGGGGTGCCTGTCCCTCCCGTCTGGACATAAAGGGCCTTGGTGCTGCCAGAGGAGCCAGAGTGACTTCACAGGGCCTACGGACAAAGGAAGGGGACTGGCTAAGCAGGTCACTGTTCTCTGAATTCCCCAGGGACCTCTGTCCTTGGCTGGATGCTCAGGGCACACACTACCGCTCCCTCAGCCCCTCTTCCACAGTTTTCTCTGGGCCAGTGGTTCTCAACTGGGGCTATTTGCCTTGCAGGGTTCATCTGGTAATGTCTGGAGACATTTTGGGTTGTCAAAACTGGGGAGGGGAGCCTTTCATTGAGCAGAGACAAGGAATGCTGCTAGCCAACCCACCATGTGTAGGACAGCCCTCTATAACAAGGAATTATCCAGCCTCAAAGGTCAAGAGTGCTGACGTTGAGAAACCCTGCCCTGGGGCAACCAGCAAGTTCCCCCATCCATGTGCTCACTTGGGAGGGGGTTGAGAAGGGACTAGCATCCTGATTTCTTAGAGGAGGAAACTGAACTCAGAGGAGAAAGTGACTTTTTCAAGGATGTGTGGCAAGTTCCATTCAAAAATATTTACTGAGTACCTACTTTATGGCACTATTCTAGTAGCAGAACTGAGCCTAGGGCTCATTCATTTCTTTATCTACTTATCAACAAACATTTCCTGTGTGGGCTTCTAGGGATATAGAGTGATGAATTAGATCCAGCCCTGACCCCTCAGAGCTCATGATCTAGTGAGACAGACAGCTACACAGACATTGACAAAACAGTGAGACCAGGAAAGCCCAGGGCCACCTGAAGAAATCCAGGAAGGCTTCTCAGAGGAGGTGTTTATAAACTGGATGTTGAAGGGGAGAAGTTAGTCATCAAAGACTGATGTAGAGAGGGTTCTAGGCAGAGACGGATCAGTGTTGCTGAGTATTATGGGGGCAGGAGTGGGGAGGATGAGAGAACGTCAGGACCCAGGTCTTGTAGGACCTTGATTGTCGGGCTGAGGTGCCTGGAGTGCCTCTCTGAGCTGTGACCAGGATGCAGCAGGTGGCAGCCGAGACAAAGAGAGCTCCTGAGACCATCTGCCCAAAGGCTTCCCTGGGTCAGCAGCTGGGGATGTGCTTGTTTCCTCCTTGAGTTATTCTGCTTTGCCCACATGTGGCCCTCCCCTGCTGGGTCCCTGGGTGGATGTCCCTCCAAGTCTAGGAGCATACAACGAGGCTAGGAGTACCCCAAGAAGACAGCCCAGACTTCCACCCAGTCTGCTGGGAAAAGGGCCCTTCCCCAAATTACTGGCCCTTTTGGCAACAAGGGCACAGATCCAGATTTACGAGTACTAGGCACTGTCCCTTCGCTTCTGGGAAATTGGAAATGATATATCAGATGTGGCCTTCAGTCACTTATGGGGGATCCCCACCTCTGTCCAGCATTCACGCTCTCAGTGAGCTCTTTGGCCTTCTCCATCCTTTCCTGGAAGGCCCCATCACGACCATCCTGGGATCATTCACGCTCCCGCCCTCCCCACTGCCTTAGCCGGTGCAGTTCCCCACCAGGGACAGTCTGGAGGCCCCACCAGGCTCCACCTTTCCCTGTGCGGCCAAAGCCTCAGCCTTCAGGGCTCAGTTCAAACATCATCAGCTCAGTCCTTCTCCTGGCCCCACCAGAACCTTCTGTTTCCCCTTGGGGTTTCCACAGAACTGCATGAGTTGCTTGTCATAGCTTATCCCACTGGGCTGTGGGGCTGTGGGGTCTGGGAGGGTCTGTCTGCCCATCTGTATCTCCTGACCCCTGAAAATGCCTGGAGGCACTTTCAGTGTCTGTAGGTCAAAAGAATGAATCCAGGTACGGGGCCAGAGCTCTGACTGCTGTGTGACTATGGGAAATCAGCGAGTCTCTCTGAGCCTCCCTCTCCCACCCAGGCTTCCTGGGTTGGTGTGAGGCCAGAGGATACCTGGCTGGCTTAGAAGGTAAGGGCACAGGTTCTGGGCTCTGGCAGGTCTGAGTGCGAATCCTGACTATAACACTTCTGGGTTGTGTTCATAGACAAAGTCTTAACAGTTCTCTTTCCTCAACTGAAAAAGATGAGGACAGTAATACTGCCTACCTCTCTGAGAGAATTCCTCTTCATATCCTTGTCTCACCTTTAAAGGACATGGTGCCTTTGTAGGTTATATGATTTTGGGTCCCAGGGTCTACTCCCTCCACTAGAAACCTGTTAAAACCTTCTCCTCTCTCTGCAAACCTCCCATCACCTCCTCCCACCTCTCTTCATCGCAGGCGGCAACCTTGCTTCCTACCTCAGTGGGAAAGGGGAGGCCATCAGAAGAGAAACCTCTCAAGCTTCCACCACTGCCCATTCATTCCCCCTCCTCTGGGCTCCCGAAGATGAGCTGTCTGGGCTCCCAGCAGAGGCAGCAGCAGACCCCCACCCCACCCCACTCCTGGACATCTCCCCGGCCACTCTCTTGGCCCTTCCCCCTCAGCTCTGCCCTCCTTCCACTGGGTCTTTCCCGTTACCCACAAAGAGGCCATTACTTCTTTCCCCTTCAACAGCCTCTGCCACCTTCTCTGTCCGTCCCTTGAATCAAATGCCTGACTTAGAAAGAATTGTCTCCACTCAATCTCCACTCGCTCTCTCCTCCCACTCGCCCTTGGATGGCCTCCTATCCAGCTTATGCCCCTGTGGCTCCACAAAGACCCCCATGCTGCTGGACAACAGTCAGTTCGGGGTTCTCCCACCTGGCCTAGTGGCCTTTGCTGCCATCAGCCACTCTCCCTACTTGGCTTCCAGGACAAACCTGGGTTTCTACCCCCACCCCCTTCTCTGGCTGCTCCTTCCCGGTCCTGTTGGCTGGGTCTCCCTCCTGTCCCTACGATCTGGGAGTGCCCTGGAGCTTCAGAGTTGAGAGTAGCTCTGTCTCTCTTCTTTCACTTCCTAGGTGATGTCATCCAGGCTCATTAAGTACTGTCCACATGCCGATATCACCGGCGCTGACCCTTGTCCTATATAGTACTTGTCATTCCACTTGCCTTCTCGGCACCAGCGCTTAGACATCTCATCCATATGGCAAACGTCACGTGCTTACAGCTCTGTCCTTCCAGGAAGCCTGGCCTGCATCATTGTAGTTCCCTTGTCTTTTTTCTCTCATACCCGAGATCGGATTCATTAGCAAACCCTATTGGCTCTCCCTTCAAAGTAGATCCCAAATCTGATCACTTCTCTCCACCTCCACTGCAATCACCCTGCTCCAAGCCACCACCGCTGGCCTGGAGTATTGTGGAAATCTCCTAACCAGTCTCCCGGCCTCCACTCTTAACCCCCTTCAGTCTATTCTCAACCTGGGAGTAAGAGGGAGCCTCGAGGAACTTAAGCACATCCCACTACATGTCCCCAAGCCCTCCAGGTTTTCCCACCTCACTCAGCATTAAGTCTGAAGTTCTCACACTGGCCCTCAGGCCCTCAGGGTCTGGCCACTGTCACCTCCCTGACCTCCTCACCTCTACTCCCTTCCACTCTAGCCACACCAGCCTCCTCGTTCCTTGAATATGCCAGGCTGCTCCTGTCTCAGGGCCTTTGCACTTGCTATCCCCACTGTCAGGAACACTCTTCCCTCAGAAAACTGCAATGGATCACTTTCCTTCTTCCTTCAGGGCTTTATTTCTATGCTTCCTCCCTGGTGAGGTCTTCTAACTGGACCTTCTACTTATTATCTGACCTAACATCCCCTAGCTCCCTTCCTTATCTTTTATCCTTCTCTAATGAACTATGGATTTTACTTATTTACTTTCACTTTCTCTCTCCCTATGATATAAGATCCACGAGGGCAGGGACTTTTGCCTGTTTTTCTCACTGCTATGTCTCCAGTACCTAGAAGAGTATGTTGTGTGATATGTGCTGTAGGATGGATGAATGAATTTCCCAAGGCCTCAGTCTCTTCATCTGGAGAATGGATATATTAATGGCCTCATAATGGCCGTATGAGGATTCACTGAGCTGAGTGATAGTGCGGGTTTCTAGCACAGGCCCTGGAACAGAGCAGGTGCTCAGCAAGAAATTCTTCTCCTCCCTCTGCCCTGCCCCCATGCTATGTTCAGAGTGGGTGGACAGGCTGGGATGTATCCCCTCACTCCTGCCCGTGCTAAACCTTACCTCTTCCTGGGTGCTCTCTGGGGCTGGCAGGAAGGGCCTTACCTGGGTGGATATCCTGGAACAGGGACTTCCAGATGGTGTACTGCAGGGGACCCGTGTACTTGGAGGTCGGGAAATCTTCGTAAGTCAGATTGGTCTCATGGATTTTCCCTTTAAGCCTGGAAGGAAAACAGGAGAACAGGCTGCATTGGGGGCCGGATTTTGGTCCCAACCCTGGGGCCCTACAGCCTCCTTCAGGGCAGCTGACAAAGGGCAAGGTCATGTATGTCAAGTCTGCCAGCGTCAGAGTCAGAGTCAGAGTCAGAGTCAGAGCCACTTCCTAATTCTCTAGCCTCAGTTACTTCATCTTTAAAATGGGTACCAAGATAGCACCTGCCTTCCAGGCTTGTTGCGAGTAGAATACGGCATAAAGTATGTAAAACGCTTACCACAGTGCTTGGTTCACGGTCAACACCGAATACATGATGTTAGCTATCAGGATTGATCATCAACAGACTAATAACAAAGTGTTATCATTATGAAAGGGGGCTATGGGGCCAGAGAGACGTGCATTTGAATCCTGGTTCTGCCATATACTAGACCAAGTGATCTAGCTTCTCTGTGCCTGTTCCCACATGTGTGAAATGGGGGTGGCAGCCGTCGCTATCTCCAAGGGAGCCAATAGGATTATAATAATATAAATACTATGTATTACCTATAATATCAATATTATAAACAATAGAATGTGTATTTGTAATATAAATAATGTTGCTCTATAAGTAATACTCTGTATGATTCTGCTTATTTCATAAATAACAATATAAACACAGAAAACCTTTTTGGCCCAGGCTCTGGCACAGAGCAGATGTCCCGTACCCCTCTGATGAAGATGGGAATGAATGAGTTCTCTGCTAACCAGCCCCTGTGCCTCGGGGCCCACCTCCCCACTACCTGTCTGGGGAAGGTGGCTGGCGGTGGGCACTTACCGCTCAGACAGTGAGGCCACCCCGGCCAGGAAGGTGTGGCGGTCGGTTTCGGCCAGCCGCTCCTGCAGGATCTGGGCCCCCTCCTGCACCTTGCGCAGCTGCTGGCTGTAACGCTGGACTTTCTGCTCAATGTCCGTCAGCGTGCGCGCTGTGTCGGCCTCCAGCTCCTCCAGCATCGCCTTCTGCCGCTCCCGCAGCAGCCGGTGCAGCCGCTCAAATGCCTCCCCGATGGTGGTCCGCAAGCTTTTGGTGGAAGACTGTGGGGACAGGCATCAGGGGTGAGGCCAGGGGGAGCGGAAGGGGATGACTCCTGGGAGAGAGGTGGAAGCTGACAATCTTGCCGTGGGGAGTGGAAAGGGTGGTGGAAGGGCGCGGTGGCAGGATGGGGCCGGCAGAGCCAGGGACAGCACATGATTCCATGTGCCCCTTAGGAAACTCACTGAGGCTTGAATTAGTGGAGCAGCAGAGCGGCCGTGGCCTGAAAGACATTTGGGGGCAGCCTCCCCGTGCCAGGTGGGCTGGCTGGAGAGATGTGGGAGAGAAAGGTGTGAGGATGATGCCCAGCTTTCTGGCTTGGGGGTGGGAGGGACAGGGAAGCTGGGGAAGAGGTGGTGGTCAGGGAGAAGAGGCTGAAGTCAGTCTAGGATACAGTGAGGTCTTTTATTTGTTAAAAAAAAAAATCGCTCATGGGGCTCAAGCCTAGAAGACAAGGAGATCACAGATATCACAAGGGCAAACTTTGGGGGTCACCCGCCCTGTCCCGGCAGCCTTGTGAGCCCCTAGCCAAGAAACTGGACCAGGAGGTTAAAGTCATGATCACAGGAGGCAAGCCTGGACTTGCCCACTTCTCTGCTCCCATGGACACTGCCAGGCCCAGGAGAGGCCTATGTGGGGATGGGCACAGGCTTCGGTGTGCAACAGCCCGGGTGAGAATCTTAGCTCTGGGTCTCTAGCTGGGCCAACCTCAGTTGCCTAATGTCTCTGAGCCTATCTTCTTATCTGTGAGAGGAATGACACAACCACAGTGCAGGGGTCTGGGAAGATCGAGTGGGGGCATGTTTGCCAAGTGCATGGCCTTGTTTGAGGTTCAGAGAAAGAGCCTGATGATTGAGAGGTGGCTTCTGAGCTGGGGCCTGCAGGACAGGCTACAAGTCAACGGCGGGGGTGGGGGGAAGCAGCACACGGCAGGACAACACGGGGTACAGAAGTGTGGCCAGGCTGTAGTGCCAGTGCGGGACCTGCCTCTGCAATTTCACTTTGTGGGATTCTGGCTGGGAGTTCACAGAGTCAGAGACCCCGCTGTGCTCAGTGCCTGGGGCTCTGTGGGAGGCTTGACAAAGGCTCAATTAGGGCCAGTTCCCTCCTGTCGTGGCAGCAGGAAGAACTGCTGGCAGTGGGCCAGCCTCCCTGCGCATGCCCACCCAGAGCGCCAGGCAGACAAAGGGGGCAGAGGGGAGACTGGGGATGAACAGCCAGGCTGCCTGTGGCCTCCCTGAGCCCCTCCCCGAACACTGAGGCTTCTGTGCAGCTCACGGGGAGAAGATGGGGCCTACCCTCCCTGCAGCCATCTGCCTCTGCCCCCCCAAGGACCCCCAGATCCCACAGCCACCCCTTCCAGCTCCTTCTCAGCCCCTCCATAGCAGTGTCTGGCGCACTGGCCATCCTCTGCTGGCTGCTGTTCTGGTTTGCCTCCCACCTTGGTGGCTGCTCCCTCTGGGCCAGCTCCTTCCGTTCTCACCTACGCGCCCTCCTAGATGGTCCACCTCCACTGCTTTGAGGATGGTTCCCGTGACCTTATCTGTGGCCTTGCACGTCTCCTGAGCTCCACATTCATCTTTCCACCTGCCTCAAGCAGACTCCTGGGATCCCACAGGCCATCAAACTCTCTTGGTCAACTCTGTGTCTTTGGCAACAAACTCATGGCCACAGTGACCCTTCTAATGTGCAAACTGGGTCAAAGCCAATGCTCTTTAGGAATCTTTCTGGGCTCCTTGATAACTAGTAAAACACTAAATTCCTTAGCCCGGCATTCAGAGTCCTCAATCTGATCCCAGCTTACCTCTCTAGTGCCACTGTGCTGCAATTCCACTGCCTAGAATGGACACCCCCCTCAAACTCTTTATCAGACAGGCAAACTCCTACTCAATCTGCAAGGCCCAGCTTGAAAGCTACCTCCTCTGTGATAGCCTCCCTCACTTTTTCAGGCAGTGAAATAGTTAAATGTCTCCAGAGCATTTTGGAAATACTCCTAATACACAGTCTCACATTTTATGTGACTCCAGCGAGTGGACAATCCCCAGGGGTAAGAATGACGTCTTTCCCAGCCTTGCACTTCCTGTGCCCATCCCAGGGCCAGGCACAAAGCTGGTAGTCAGAATCTGCTTGGGAGGTGAAGGAGGGAAGAGTCTTGCCAAAAATTACTCTGCAGAGGTGAGTGCAGACTCCATCTTCTTTTTAGGATGGGGGCCTAGTGTCTCCAGGACAAAAGAGAATGAGTAGGAAAAGGGGCAGAGGCAGGGAGAGGGTAGCTCAAAAGTGACAGCCAATCCTGGGTGCTTTAAGTATGTTCCTGAAAGGTCTTCCCAACCTACTTGTCTTGCTGACCACAAAGCCACAGATCTGGCTGCAGACCTCCCAGCACAGGGCTAGGATGTGCATTAGGTTCTGACAAAATTGGACAGTAAGCTCCCAATTAAGCACTCACTCACTATGGGACCTTAGGCTAGTTCCTCAACCTCTCTGTGCCTCAGTTTCCTTGCCAATAAAATGAAGATAACATTCCTACTTCTGAAGGAGTCCCCCTCACACCATACACACACTCAACTGTTCTACAATATTTATTGTATGGAGGCGCTGTGCTAAGTTCTGGGGAGTCCTGCTGTCACAGAGGTGACATTCTGTGGGGTTCAGTTTCAGTGAGACAATGAACAGGAAACACAATTACCAGCCTAGAGAAAGAGGTTCAGCTCAACCGGCATGCCCCATTTATTCTAGTTTTTTCTAGGGCAGAGCCATCCCCTCCTCCACCCAGCCCCCAATCCCTTTGGTGCTGTGACTGGGAAAGCAGCCCCTACCCCAGCCCACCACATCCCTGGGAATACACTGGGGCTCAGAGGAACTGGGGCTGCTTCAGAAAAACACCCTGCCAAGAATGCATCACTTGGTCAGGACCGACCAAGGAAAACATTGGGCCCAGGGAGGGAGATCAGACAGGCCCTCGGGCCGGGCCATTGGAGGGGCAGGCGCTGCAGGAAAGCCGAGTCAGGCACCAGGTGAAATATGACCTCCAAAGCATCCATAGGCATTTCTTGTATAAACACCCCAGTCCAGACAGGAAGTGGGGATGGGGGAGCTAGAGGGGGAGGTGGCCCCACAGGACCCCCCAGAGGTAGACAGATGGACAGGAAAGCAGGGGAGGAAAAGGTCAGTGGAGAAAAACAATGGGGAGTGGAAAGAAGAGAACGCTAGGGAAAAAACTAGACCATAATATTCTGCTTTCATTCACATAGAGGATTTCATTTGCTTCTCTTCACCCGAGGGTGCAGAATCACCAGGCAGATGGGGGAAACTGAGGCTGTGCAAGGCAAATAGGCTAGCGTCTTCTGTTTCTCATCTATCGCCTGCTGAGGGTCCTGCCCGCAGGCATTCCAGAATGTTCTCTAAAGAAATGTTTGTCATGACCTCCTTGAGACCCCACACGGGTTGGAGGCCAAGCTGGGCCACATATCTGGATCTGCAATGGCCTCTCCAGGCCCCCGGGTGACCCCAGAGGTCCGGAGCATTCCTAAGGCTCTAGTTCAGCTACTGCTGGCAGCTGCACCTCTGCTAGTGAGTGGGGCCAGACTGAAATCGCCGCAGAGCTTAGCAGCTGGGCTGGGGTCCCCAGTTCTTGGTCCCAGAAAGGGCAGAAATCAAAGCAAGCCTTGTCCAGTTGGTGAGACATCAGTGGGGGAACTCAGAGGGAGGCCCTGGAATCCAGAATTTTAGGGCTGGAAGGAGCCTGGCAGGGTCTCTGGTGTATAGATGGGGAGACTGGGGGCCAGAAAAGTATGGTTTACCCAAAGTCACACAGCGAGGTAGTGACTGGATCAGAATCCAGGGCCGCCCTCTCAGGTCCAGGTTCCTTTTCAAACCATTGCATCCAGAGACTACAGGGATTGGCCCTACTTTGCAGGAGAGTCCATAAATCCCCAGTCCGCGTTTAAGAGAGTGATACCAAGCCTGGGCCACAAATCACTGGGAGGGCTTCGAGGGGAACAGGCTCAGGTTGGCTCCTCCGGATTGCTTCCCGGTCCCACCTCACCTTCCACCCGGAGCAGGAAGGGAGAAAGGGCCCCACCCTTAAACCCAAGAACCAGCCCAAATCCTTGCCCTCAGTCCTAGGCGTGGGTCCTGTCGCATATACCCTTCAGGGAAGCCCCAGCCTCCGTTCCACCCGCGCCCGCCCCCATCCCAGCTCCGTCCCTCTCATAGTAGGTTTGGCACCTTAAGACCCCGCCCCTCTTCCCAGAGGGCCCCGCCCCCGACGCCCCGCCCCCCAGCAGGCCCCGCCCCCGCCCAGGCGGGGCTCACCTTGGTCTCAGCCAACTGTCGCTTGAGCAGCTGCAGCGCCTCGGTGTGCTCCCGCTCGCTGTCCTGAAGGGCCTGAAGCTGCTCCTTCAGCTCCCTCTGGAACAACACAAGGCCTGGATGCGGGGCTCCGGCCAGGCCGCCGCCGCTCTCCCGCGACCTCCCCCAAGACCACCCTCCCCGCACAGTTCAACAATCCCAACTCTCCCGGATACACCGGCTGCTTTCACCTTTCCATCTTTCATCGGGAGTTTTGCAACACGCTCCTCCCTAGCCATCCTAGATGCTTGTGGTCTCCCTGTCCAACCCGCCTCCACATGACGTTCTGCCCCCGCCTGATCTGCTGGCGGAGACTCCTGTCTTAGAGTCCTCGGAAGGGTACCAAGGCCGTAGCGCTGTGCTCCGCTACGACTCGCGCGTCGGGTGGGCTTGGCGCTGTTCTCAGGCCTTTGCTTGTATGGGGTCATTTAATCTTCTCAGCAATACAGAGGAAGGCACTATTATTACCTCCGTTTTCCGTCGGAAAAATTGGTACAGAGAGTTTGTGAAACTGGCCCAAAAGCATGCAGCCAAGCAAGTAAGAGTAAAACCATAATTGCACCATGATTTTGACGTCAGGTGACATATCTTCTGCAGTGGTGACACCCATGACAGACAGCGACAAAAATCCACAATATACAACAGATGGAATATGGCCACGATTAGTATTACAGATTTTTCCTTTCCCTCGGGTTCCAGGAGGACTCAGTATGACTCTGCTAGTAATTTTGTTTTGATTTTAAAAATTTGATATTTTGTTCATCATGGGTTTTGTTTTTGTTTGTTTTTTGCTTTAATATTGATTTTCAAAAATTGTATTAAGTATTACCCACCTCAACCCCTGAGTTTTGGGGTGCCTACTTCAATGTTGCACCTTACCCTCCCACACCTGTCTTCACCATCCTTCTCCCTTTACTCCCCTGCAGCCAAAGTGGACTTCTTCCCGTTGCTCCGGCATGGGCTCGTCTCACCCTCATGATTTTGCCCTTGCTGCTTCCTCTGGCCAGCGCACTCCACTCAGATTTTCTCCCAATGATTCCTTGGTGTCATTAACCTATGAGCTCCAATGCCACCTGGTCAGGGAGGTCTCACTCACGTACAGCTTCATTGACACCCTCAGTCCCACATCCTGTTTCGAGGTCTTCCTAGCACCTTCTGCTGTCCAAGATGCTCTTGCTCGCTTGTTAGACAGTGTGTTTCCTGCTCATGGCCTCCACTAGAGTGACTATCACGAGGGCAGGGGTCTTGTCTGGCTTGTTCACTGTTGGATCCCCAGTGTTTAGAATAGTGCTCAGCACACAGTAGGGCCTCAATGAATATTTGTCAAATGAATGAATGTGGTGTTGAGGTGGGTACCCCGGTGACAGGGCCCGCTGTCTGCATGAACTGGGTGTTTGGCTTATTGTAACTAGTTCTCCTGTCTGTCCCTAGTGTCCCGCCTTCCCATCCCCCATGAGCCCATGAGTCCTATGGGGATGGGCCCTTACCATTCCCTGCTCTCTATCCCCTGTACCTGTCAACAGCCTGACAATAAGATGGGGCTCAAGGAGGTTTGCTTTGTGGATGAATTTCTGTGGAAACAGCCTCTGAGCAGGACCTGGGTTTTCCAGTCAGCCTGGGCTGTGAGAGATGCCAAGAAGTTGACTTACCTGTTCACCCCTACCTCCCTCCTACTCACTCAGCTCATGAGGGCAGGGAGGACCCTTGGAAAACATCTGGTCCAACTAATTTTACAGACGAGGCAGCAATATGGGAAGATGGTCATGATGACATGCTTAGAGAAGCATGCAGAAATTATCTTTGCTTACTATCCCTTAGCCATGCAACAAATATTTACTAAGTAAGTATGTGCCAGGCACCACTGAGGCTCTGGGGATATAGCAGAGAGCGAGACAGACAGTCCGTGGCCAGAGAAACTGTCCAGGGTGGTGGGGAAAGGAGAGAATGAGCAAAGAAAGTAACAGCTCCGGCCTGTGCTCTAAAGAAAATAAAGTGGTGTGGGATGGGGGTGAGTTTGGGGGAGGGTGGACAGGGAAGGCTCCTCTTCCCTGAGTTGTCACCTGAGATGACACGGCAGCAGGGTGGGGAGGAGCCGGCCTCGGAAACAGGAGTTAGATGGGACATTGGGGACGACTTGTGCTGTGAGAGCAGAGAGCTCCCACAGACAGGATGGCTACCACCTCTGTGAGTGCCTCGGGGCCATGAGGCAGCTATAAAGATGGGAGGCACAAGCTGAAGCCAGAGGGGTAGGAGGAGGCAGGAGCCTGGGTCCCTGATGATGGATTGTGGCTCAGTGATGAGTTAGGAAGCTGGCCCTCAAGAAAAAAAGAGAGAGAGAGAGAGACAGAAGCCCTGATTACTGGTGTTTGCCAATTTCTGTGGTGTAAATACTCTCACCAGAGCTGATTATCAAGTGATGACCGTGAGGTCAGGGGCTGAGGATACCTGGCACAGTCAGCTGGCAGGAACCGGAGCGAGCCAGCTCCAGCACACCACTGTCTGGGGGCCTTTCCTACAGGCCTGCTGTGCGGGGGAGAGAAAGACACATCATCTCCTCACGGCTGCCCGGCCAGGTGTCTGGTACTGACAGCCGACAGTCATTCCTAACAGGTTCATGTGCATCTGAGTTGTTGGAGCAGACAAATGTCATTCCCCTGAAGAGTATAGATCGACTGCTCGTCAGGCTCCCCCTGATGGCCCTGGGGCTATCAGCTTGGGACCTGGCTGAGGGATGAGCTGAGTGCGACAGTCGTTCCTCCTGGTGTCCTCACAGGTTCACATAAGACTCAGCCCCCCAGGTGGCTCCTCAGAGTCTCTGAGAAAATGACCCCGGAGGCAGAGTTCCTCACAGCGCTGAGGGCACCCAAGAGGCCTGGACAAATCCCTCCCTGCTTCCAGGGCCAAGGAACAAGAAACAAGGGGAGAAGGCCTGCCTTTTCCTCTTGGACCCTGGGAGACACAGAACCTTCCTTTGCCGATTCCACAGACATGTGCAGAGGTCTCCTTGGGTCCACAAGGTGCTGGGTCAGCAACAGGCAGAGGGATGCTTCAGGAGGGGTGTACATGAGTTGAGATGGGGGGGAACACAGGCACACATGCATTAACATGACAGGGAATGCTGGAACCGGGTTAGGGGACACAACACTTGCTGCTCTTCCCAGGTCCCCATCTCAGCGAGGGCCATCCCTACCCCTACTGCCATCCAAGTGAGAACTCTGGGAGTCACTCCTGACGCTGCCCGCCCACGAGGGCAATCAGTCATCAGGTTTGTCTCGCCGGTTGTCTCCTGTCTACACCCACTGCCCCTGGTTTGGTTTTCTGGACTGTGGCCCTAGGCTCCCCTCTGCCCCTGCGCTCTCCAAATGGAGTGCCTTGTCTCTAGGACAGATCTGTCCATGCTTTTTCCCTGTGCCCCATGGCAGGATCTCCATGGTGTCTGAAAAGATGGCCACGAAGCTTGAGTGTGGCACTCAAGGCCTTTACCCCTGGCCCCAAACTTCTTCTCCAGCCCTGTCTCTTGGTCCAGACCTACACTGTTCAAGGCAGCAGCCACCAGGCACATGTGGCTACTAGGGTTAACATGCTTTGAAATGAAATAAAACTGAAACTCTGTTCCTCAGTGGCCCTGAGGTGCGGGGTTACATGTCTGAAGTGGTCAAGAGCCACACAGGACGGGTGGCCAGTGTCTCAGAGGGCACAGATGCGGAGCCCCAGAAACCGTGTGGTCAAACCCTCCGGATCTAACAGGAAACTGAGGTCCACCGAAAGGAACTGACTGGCCGGTGGCCACATAGCTTGACAAAGGAGAACCAACTGGAAAACATAGTGCCGGCAGAAGTGAGACACCAAACAGGAAGCTCTGAGCGGCAGAGCTGGTGCAGAGGAAGGGCAGTGGCGGGGTCTGGGTTCACAGGCGCGTGTCACGCAATTCTCACAGCCGTCTCACAGAGGGGGAAATAGAGGCTCAGAGAGATCAGACAGCTGGCCCAAGGTCACACAGCTCCATTTCCAAATCTGTAAAGAGCAGCTAATACCAGTGTTGGGTCTGTGGTTGTGAGGATCCAATGACTTAATTCGCGACCTGACATGATGCCCAGAGTGATGCTCAGTCACTCTTGGCTGCTGTCACGGTCATCATCATCATCTCAGTGACATGTGAAACAGGGAGTCAGAACCGGTTGAGGCTTCCAGGAGAGACATTATTTCTGATGGGAAGCCTGTGGAAGATGGCTGGATGGATGCACTGGAAGGAGTCCTTCAGGGATCCTGGGAGGGGCCAGAGCATCCCAGGTGGAGAGACTAGTTGGGCAGGGGCACACCTGGTGTGTGCAGGAAGTGGGAGGTGGCTGGGGGTGAGGGGAGCCAGGTCTGGGCAGGTGGGTGGAGTCAAGCTGGAAGGGCCGGTGGGGCTAGCTGGGGTGAGAGCAGGAGGTGGAGGAGGCCTTGAAGGTCCTCATGGGGGGCTGGACTCTGGTGGCCCCATCAGAGCAGGAGCCTGTCAGGAGGAGGGGAGTCCCTTGGAAGGCGGGGCCACAGCTCTGTAGGCCTCCCTTTGGAGAGGGAGCAGACCTGAGCAGACAATTATGCAAATGTCAGCTGACAGGCTCTGGGGCTCCCCCGCAGGTTTGGAGAGGCCCAGACCAGGGCAGCAGCCTTGGGGGAGGACAGAGAGCCAGGTCTCCCACACTCCCAAGGTCAGACTGCCCCTCCTGTGGGGCCACCCCTCTCCCATCCTATAGGGCAAAGCTGCTGCAGGAAACGGTCTCCTGAAGGCTTCAGGGACCCTTCTCAACCCTGTCACCAAGCAGTGCTGCCCATTGGAGATAGTGTGAACTCTGGCCTCAGAAAAAACTGGGTTCGAATCCCAGCTGTATGACCATGAGCAGATCACCTCTTCCCCTCTCAGGGCTTACCTCTTGGAGCCTTATCTGTAAAATGGGCATCAGAGCCACCCATGGGGTTGGGGTGGGACTAAATAAGACCACCTCCCCTTCTCTGTGCACCTGTACGCTCTCTCTCTTGCTCTGACCCAAGGACCCCAGAAGTCTCGACATGGCAAG